CACACACACACACACACACTGTTTATGTACGCATGCATAAATAAAGGTGCATTTCTAGAACGAGTTTGGCTACTATAAATTACTCTACTGTGCGTGATTAAAATTTAATTTCGGAAATATCATAAATTAAATCGTAGGAAACACGATTTTGCAACTAATAACTGCAGTTTCTTCGTAAATTGCTTCCTTAATATAATTGATGATCCTAGTTAGCATATTAATTAGAAATATCTCTCTTATTTTAATAATAAGATTTATAATGAAAAATTGTATATTTTTACATGTTGAGTTATTGAGGCATACGTCCAATAGCCATGGCACATAACCTTTTTTACGATAACCTTCAAAATAATAATTCTTTGTGGTAATTATTTAGAATACGACCCCTCCCCCCCCATCTAAAATCTTAATAAAAATATATTCATTCAATGCGTTTTCACTCAAAACGAAAGGCAGAAAAACGCGGCGGTCGGCCTCGTGAATCCTTATCATCTCATAATTATCAATTTTCTAAATAAAACATGTTAAAATATAACAAAACTAAAATAATCCCAACAATTCGCAGTAAAACATGCAATTTATTATTAAAAATAGCATGGTTCATTGTGTACACACCTCTTATACACAATAAACCACTTTCCGTTTTTTGAAATACCTAATCGAAATTGTGGCTAAACTTAAAAAAATAACTTAAAAGTTATTGTTTATAGTATGCAGCCAACTAAATTCATAAACTGTATGCCAAAACTCAGATCTTCAACTCAATAATTGAGAGAGATATAAGCCTCTGAAATTTACATGGTTCATTGTTGGACCACTTACCCTACACTAAAAAATATCGATATAGTGGCCCATATATTTTTTGCTAGTGACTGTATGTGCCTATATTTTTTTCTCAATACTTTATTGGTGCTATTATTGCAAACAAATTAATCAATCAAAATCAACAATTCCTTGAGATTTATTAAAATCCCCGTTTGATAGAATACTCGAAATTGATATAGTTTGCTCATAAAATACCTGTCATATTTTAAAAATATTACGAGAAAAACTGTATGAGACATATAGGTAACATTATTGTCCGATTGCAACAATGTTGAAAAGTTAATTAAATTAAATTTTGATGAACTAATTAAGAAATTCAAAGAAACCATTTTTAAACACTGTTAGACAGTGTATTACGAAATTTTGTTCCAATAAAATGCATAACCGATTCGATAATATTGAGTCATGATATAGCTATGATTTGTACGTCAATTTTACAATGTAGAGATTGGGGAGCGCAACGTTTCACGGCATTTCGCGAATAGGAATATAATCTTGCCCGCAGCTAGCCAGGATTCATACTGACGCGCTCATGCATAAGCTATTTACTGGTTTACAGAAATGTCGAGAACGCTGCGCGACTCGTTCTCGAAAACGAATTTATACATTATTCGCTGGCGATTATATAAGATGGCGGATACCGCGTTTTACAGCACAGAGGCCGCTCTTGACGTGGGTCGTTTCAATTATTCGTATGCCTCCGCGATGCAATCCACCGATAGGAAATTTTCGAGCTTCCGTAGTAGTTAACCATGCAGACGTTTGCAGCCGCCTTATGGGAAAGCTCTACACGTATGTAGATGCGGTCATATCTGTTTTAATATGAAGTTTTAATGTGATCAGGCAGCAAACACATTTAAAGAGAATTATTAATTTAAAGATAATAGCTAAATTTTCAAAGCAATTATAATTATATATTATTTGGTAATGCATAAATTCTAAAGATATAAATCTTGTGTTTCTTATTTTTTTATTTATAATAGAGAAATAAGAGGTATTAAGGGAGGGGGTATTTCTTTATTAACATTAAAGAAATACTTTATGAATAAGTACATCAATACACTATATTACTTTTGAGACCTCCACGGATATTTTCTTTAATGAAACTACTCGGTTTGTGGATTATCTCCGTCTCAATACATCATTAAATGCCAACGTTTCATGAACATTGCAGTTTACTTACAGTTTACTTTATCAGGGCAAGTATCAATATCGAGTTGCTTCTCGTCTTGATGAAGTATAGTAAATTCACGAAACGTTGGCATTTAACAGTTATCAAGATACGGTGTATCGAGATAACCGCAACCGTATAGCTACATTGATATCAATAGATCATAATATTAACTGCTTCAGTCTGACACATTATAGATTTCTCAATTCAATTTCTGCCAGTTTTACTTTGTCAGTAAAAATGAAATTAAAATAAAAATATTTTTAAGAATTTCTCTTTTATTTTCCTTTAAGCATATACCTTTCTAATATATGAAATGTCTTTTTTTTAAGGAGCTCCGCTTCCAATGTGCAGCACTAGCTACTGACGATTTCGACGTACACGTGAAGTTTAACGATGTAGCATGCTTTCTCACGGAACGACCTGTTGATGAAGTATGGGTTGGTTCTTCCTTGCCACTATTTTGTTGCTTTCCTTATGCGGTAAGTATTAAAGCGATTCAAATTCTTTAACTATAAGAATATTACTAGGATATTACTTTTGCGATTGTTTTCACAGATAAGCATGTTAACGAAATATTAATGTATCACTATAAAATCGGTATTTTGTACTTTACATTATTGTGAGAAGAAAAATTATTCATAAATTCTAAAATTTAAATTTCAAAATCATTTTATATTCATGTTTAAAAATAATATCGATTTTGTTATTTTTTAATTTCGCATTTAATAATTAATCTAGTGAATTGCAATTCATAACGTGTGTTAATTATATGTATAATATATATATATCATTATAAAATTGGTATTTTGTATTTTGCATAATTTGTAAGAAGAAAAGTTATTTATATAAATTCTATTAAAATTTAAACTTTAAAATTATTTTATACTCACGTTTGAAAATAATGTTGATGGTGTTATTTTTTTTGTAATTTTGCATTTGATAATTAATTTGATCCAGTGAATTGTAATACATAATGCGCGTGCTAATTTCTGAAATCATAAAATGTTAAAGTTTAATTTGTTTGTATAATAATTATTTGTGAAATTACGCAATCAAAAATTCAAGCGCCACCAAGAACAAAACAGGTATAGGTCTTATATAGAAAAAGCAATTTTTGTGATGATTGATTAAAACAAAATTGGTCATTATGCGGATTTAATAACTCGCCCAATTTCAATACAGACTGCTGTATGTTGATCCTAAATTAGACTTCGTTTAAATTTATCGATTTTCTATTCATGATTAGATTTCTGGTGTTATTCCTCGCACCGCGACGATCCAAATTTTAATCTACATATGCAGATTATACTCGATATTACCGACGTAGAACACTAAAAAAAATTTTCTTTAAAAATTTGCATTCTTTATGTCGCTAACACGATTTTGCGTTAAGGATGCTGCGAAACCGTCAATCACATTTTTCGCAAATCTGACGGTAAATTAATTTTTTAAGTTACTTTAAAAGAAAAAGAGAGCCCCCTTGACACTTTTGGCACGTATGCATGCGACGAAAATGGCACTTGATAATCGTTAATTGATGTTTTAGTTTAAATTTATATTCTAATTAAATCCTTGACACGCATTAAATATAAGTGTGTCCTTAAATCTTTTGAGAAGTATCACAGATCAAATAGATTCGGAATAATGAAAAGTGCATTTTAATTGCTATAAAATGTTATTATTAAAAAATTACAATTGTTATCAATCAAGTTTATATTAACAATGACAATATTGCACATTTCTTTTAAATTAAAAAGACCCCATTAACTAAATTATATATTATTAATTTTATATATTTATTTTATAACTAAAGATTCTTAACTGTTACTTACAATTGTGAAGCTACTTGAGGTATCATTTAATCAAAGCAAAGTAATGTAATTAAATAATTTAATATATGAAATCGATAAACAATATTCAATAAATAAGAAAAATATTTTTATTTTTATTTGTGTATAAAAATTCCGTTAAAAATTTCTGATTATTCATGAAAACAAAAACCTGAATATTTATTTCTGTTTCCACATGGAGAAGACATGGTTCGCTAAATTCGCTATGCAGAAAGGACGCAACAAGTTTTATGTTCAGTGAACCTCAATATTCTCGTATTCAAAGGAATAAAATTGTTGAATAGACAAGGTTGACATTTGTAATATTTTTTCTACTTCAGCAAACTTTACTTGTTTTTTTATTTTTTGTTATTCGTAAAAATTAATATTAGTAGCAAAAAATTCATATTTACAAATGCTTTGATAAATGGAAGAACATGCGTGAAATTTAATACGGGATAAAAATCTTTTTTCTTACTTATCTGATATTCATTTATGTATCGATTCTACATATTTGAGAAAATTTAATGCGAAGAAATTCTTTTAATTAAAATGATAGTCACGCACGCATGCGTCGTAGGAAATATTGTAGACGTCGTCTTTTTCTCCGACGACAAATTTATCACGTTTATTTAAGTCTAAAGGAGTAAATACGGCAAAGAATAAATTGTTTCTTTATGAATTTGTGTAATTCAGAATTTAATTGCAATATTATTTAGAGATAATGACGAATATAATTAATATAATATAATTAATAAGTACCTTATATTAATGGTACAATTAGAGCTGCGTAATTACCAACTACATAATTATAACAATTTAACACATTTAACAGAATCATATTCATAATTATAGAATTTCGATTTATATCTTCTCTTTTATCGTTGTTGTACTCAGCATCGTCTATTTACGTTGAGTGGTGCCGAAAATGCGATTCATCACTCATCCCTGTAAATTGGCCGTCAATCCTTTATATCAATGTCATCTCTCGACCTAACGGATTGAAATCCTCTTCGATCCTTAAGTACATGCATTAGCTGTGAGGGAGACACTATACGTCGATATAGAGAGGAAAAAATATCACTCTGATACTTTTATATTCTGATTCTCGATTTACTGTTATTAAATTGTTTCCTGCCTTCTAGTGATTACGATTATTCATGATCGTTAATTAAAGCAGGAATAATCGATGAAATATTAATGGAAATCTAGTGAAGCAGTTTATACGATCCTCTGATCTCTTTGCATATTCACCTACCTGAAAAGTCCTTCGCACTGATACCTTCTGCTCCATTACACTGCTCTTTCGCATATCTAACGCTAAGATCGATTCTATCAAAATTCTAATGAGATTGTTCTATATTTGTGTACACAAACAGGTTTCGCCAAATTCGGATAAATCGGTTTCTCGAATAAAATAGTGTTTTTCTTATTCTTAAGCAATTTTACTTTAAGGTAAAAATTATATATATTATTTAAGTTTGAAAAATAAATTAGAGAGATAGTGATTTATTACAGAAAAAAATATTTTCTTTGCTGGCTTTCGCAGTTTGGTTTGCGATCCTCCGAAGAGTCAACAAAAGTGAGAACAAAGTCAAACATCATTCCTTTAAAATAACAATTATGACAATCGCAACGTTTCCGAGCGATTTTCGTTAGATAAGCGAAGGTAAATGAATCGGAGGAAGACTGCACAATCCGCCATGAAAGCCCCATCGATCAATCGAACGCGAATCGATAGTTTAACGGTGCGCACGTCCTACTGTGTTCATTTCATGCTGCTTCCTGGGAATTTCTGGGTCGGACAAAAAAAAAAGCGGCGGGAGCGCCGATGCCACAGAGTGGAAGTACTGGGAGCCACGGTCAACCGCAGGCCGGTTCGTCGCCGAGCACCCCGGGCCCCGGCGGCGGTGGTTCTACCGGTGGTGCTACCGGAAGCGGCGG